GCGGGCACCTGGGCCAACCGAGGCCCCAACGTGATGGATGGCACCAACGAACTACTGAGAAACGTTCACAGCCGCCACTAAGTCCAACCAGGAACGCCCGGGCACGAAGTTCATCGCCACATTCACCTAGATGGATAATGCATTTCCATAAGCGCAGCTCCAACCTAATAATATCAGCGAGCGAGCAGAGCCCAATAAGAAACAAATGTCCAAATCGATAAACCAGTTGGCCAACATAAACCGTAGATCATCGGCATATCCTGAGAGCCCGAACCTGGGCGGGCCCGCAGCGACCAGCCACCTGCAGACAGGGCCCAGGGCCACGGCAAAGGACAGCACTGATGCAGGGCACCATGGCGGACTCCCCGGCCCGCTGGCAAGCCGGCCAGCGCGGCCCCGCAGAAGTGGGCCCTCGCAGCACTGCCTTGGCACAGATTGTCGAAGAACTGAACAGCCCTGGCAGGGGCCCCCATGCACCTCGAGACACACATGGCCCACTCTACGAAAAGACAAGGGAATGCGTCTTTGAAGTCCACGGAGAACCGGGCAACTTCACCGCGGCCCTCGACGCGCGCCAGGAGACCCGCGCACACGCACGCACACACACAGACACACACGCACACATACACACCACAAGCAATAATGCTGTCCAGGAAAGAGCGGTCGGGAACGCCACCAGCCTGAGACTCCAGGATCGCGCGAAGTGCTAACATGGGAAAGGTGCATGGCTATGGCAACTGTGACTAGCTTGCAATCTGCGCATCCCATTGAGACTGGACGAGTAGACGAAAGCTTGCGAGCTGGCACCGCTGACGACTCTGTCGGGCGGCCCCCCTCGGCGAGAACGGCCGCCAGCATGCCATGGAAGTCGCCGGGGCGGGGGCCTTCGGGATGGCCGACGCAGCGAAGGTAGAAGTCGCGCAAAATCGCCCGAGCCCCGAGATGTTACCAGCAGCCATATGCAAGGCCGCCGACGCCAGGCATAGAGTCGCCAGACTTTGTCACCAGAGCCCCAGAGGTTTCGGCGTCCAGAACCCATCCCTGGTCGGGCACGAGACGGTCAGCGCGCTGGATACACTGAAACAGAGTAGACCAGAGAGGGCGCTCAGGAGGCCCGGCGGCGAACACATAACCTCAGTGACGAGCAAGCTCTGCGCCCGCGCGCTGCAGAGACGTGCGAGGCGCCCCCGCGATGCCCACTAAAATGTTGCCAAGCTGATCAGACGTGTTGAGACTTCCCGAACGTTCGCGATCACGCCGCGCACGCGCACGCCCGCGCACAACCCCGCGCTCTGGGAGATCACCTGCATGCTGGGGGGCTTCTTCTTCATCGTCGAGCAACTGTTTATTGGGATGAGCGACGCGCGCACGCAGCCCCCGAGGACCAAAGAACGCACCAGCATCCACGCACGTCGAAAAAGCAAGTGGGGCGCGGATAAGCACGCACAGCACGCGCGACAAGATACGACGCGAAAGCGCGAAATCCTCTGAGAGCAGCCACGCACCAACGCAGATACTCACGGACAGGTTCTGTCAATCTAGCTCGCATCATCTTCCGAAACTCCGCGCGCGCCCCATGCATGGCCACCTTGGCCCGATCCAACCGAGAGCAAATCGGAGGTCGAACAGAGATCGCCGCGATCTTGCAGCCACGCTCCTCATTTAATTCTGCGGTCGTCGGGGTTCAACTGGGAATAGGGGGGGGGGGGGGGGGGGGGGGGGGGGGGGGGGGGGGGGGGGGGGGGCGGCGGCAGCGACGTGGGGCTCAGGGGCAATGACGACCATCACAGGGACGTGGTCAGACGGTTTCCCGGGGTTCGCGGGCACCCCACTCGCGGCACCAGTCGCAACGACATCCACCAGAACAGCGGGGGGAATGTCCACATAGACGCGATCCAGACGGGCCGTCGGCACAACTCTGGGACCTTGACAAGCACGACGAGTGTCCTGGGGTTGGTAGAGCCCTGTCCAAAGACCGAATGCAGCTGTCCATTCACGCGCGAAGGCAGTGTCCCCCCGAGTAAGGGCCCCCTGATCCAAATTGAATCGCCCCACATCGCTAAAGACGAACTTGAAGTCTCCAGGAAGGACGCGAGAAGCGGCAGCGGCAAGAAGGTGAGCAGAGCGGATGCACGTGAGACAGTGCCGATAGTAGCCAAACCCTGCGTCTACGTTTGGGAGATGAACAGCAACGACCCACAGGAGGCCAGCATCGCCCCAACCGGCAACGTAAGACGCCTTACCAGGAGAGAGAATCTTCTGAGTGAAACCACGAAACTGCAATGCAAAGTTGTCCTGGATGCAAGCCAGAACGGCATGACCAGGGGCATTGTTCAGGTTTGGGTTGAAGCGGAAAGAGAGCGAAGGAAATTATGTACTGAGAGCAATGAGGTCACCTGCATGGCCATGAGACTCCTGGATACACAGCGACCTGATGACGACGAATAAGAGAACGGAAAGATCTCCAACGGGTACGGGGCCGATTTTCCGTGCTAGATAC